AGGCAGCTTAATGTTAGCTACAAAAGAATTCACAATAGTTTTCAAGGTTTAAGGTAAGTAATTGTACAATAAAGTGATAAATATAAATTTTAAGCGTTCAAAAGGTAAGTATTTAAAATTTTAGTAAAAGCTAACTATTTCATGGTATAAAGAAGGTAAATACAACATGTTTAAGGTTGATATTTGCTTTGAATGTAAAAATTAGAAAAAAGTTAAATTTAATAAATTTATAATTCTATTAAGTTTGGACTCATGTCCTCCACAATTGCGTGAAACGTTTAGGTCTGCGGGTTAACTGCATGCTGTCGATTCTTAACGAGGTCCTTTGCAAAGTTGAAAAATCTTTTAATGATAGCTTCAGTATTGGCCAGCTTAGCATTCCCAACTGCAGACACACAGGAATCTGTGAACAAAGTAATCTTATTTAGCTGCATACATATTACGCTGTAGGTACGCTAAAATTAGGCAAAAACAGGCCGAGACACTTAAACTTAATTTTTAACCGACTTCAAAAAAAAAAAAATTAGAAGGTTATCAATTCCTCAATAATCGCAATATTTAACTTACCTTTTTGGCTTATTCTTATTTTTTAATTTTCGGTTCTTATAAATAAACGCGTTTATAGCACAAAATCACAAAAAGATATATATTTTTTTTTCGTGCGTCAGAATTTTTTCAATGTCGATTGTGACATTATTATAATTACTTTGATTTGATTTTCTTTCGAAATTTCCTAAAAGAATCGAAGTGTGCACAGTACATTTCATCTTAGAAAATTCGGCAAAAAATCGGAAAGAGAATAATGGAATCTTTACGATTTTCTTTCGCAATTTCGTAAAACAATCGAAATGTGCACAGTTTATTTCATTTTAGAAAATTCGGCAAAAAATCGGAGGAGATCTTTACGAATTCTTTAAAATTTCTCTACAATTCAGAATACTCTGTAAAAATGGTTTGCAGGGAAATAAGTTTAAAAACCTGTGATTGTGTTTGTTTTCAAAACAGAAACATATTTTTGTTTACCAATCTTTAATTAATATTTGTACAAAAACTCATAATTTCTATTTTAAATAATCTTGTTTTCCTCTGTTTTTTGTTGATATTTATAATAAAGAATCGCCCCTGATGATGCTAAGGTAGTTAGCGAAACGTTGGGCAAAGAAGTGGAGAAAAGGGCGTTTTTCTTGCACATGGAGAAGTAGATCGACCAGCCTACAACAATACCAACATCTAACAAATACTCGATCAAAAGCTTACAAGGATATATTTTAATTAAAGTAATTAAAGTAAAAATACTGTGAAATTTGGACGTAAAAAATCTTTAGCAGAATATATTGTAATTAAAGTAAAAGCACTCGCTTAGGCGGTTACAGCGCCAAAAAAGAAGAAAAAGAATTAAAGTAAAAATACTGTGAAATTTTGGACGTAAAAAATCTTTAACAGGATATATTTTATTTTTTAACTCAAAAAATAGAACAGATGCAAGAGGCCATAACCCAGTTCACAGGCGCTATAAATGCACAGATAAAGCAAATAAGAGTAATGAACAATAGGATAACCCAACTAGAAGCCAGGGTTAGTTCACACAATGAAAATAGTATTCGGGAAGCTCCTACCCGTTTAACGGATGTGGACCTAAACGAAATAAGCAAGCTTCCAGTCAGTGTAAAAAACCAGCAAACATTTGAGGGTGATCCTGTACAGTACACGTCTTGGATTCACAGCGTTGCATGACTATGAAATAGTTAAAAATAGGCCAATATACAGGGCTATCTTGCGTCATATAAGACAAAAAGTCACGGGGCCTGTGGATACTTTCTTAATTTCTTATAATATATTCGATGACGACTGGGGAAAAATCAAAACTTGTTTGTTCTTGCATTGTGCAGACAAACGAGATTTGAGAACCCTGGAGCACGAATTAGGCTCCTTATCCCAAAGGAACTACATCATAGAACAATTCAATGCAAGGATCAATCACCAGTTGTCCTTAATAATTAATAAAATAAAAGGCCAGGACTATTCTGTTGAAACGAGTTCTGCAATAGTAGAAACCTATAGAAATAGGGCCTTGGACGTTTTCATAAGAGGACTTACGGGTGAAGTATCCAGGATGCTAGTCATCCAAAGACCGCAGAACCTACCTGAGGCGTATGCCTCTTTTCTAGAAATTCAAAACCTTAACTTAAGGAATTATTCAATTTTCCCAAAAAGTCTGGGAACTTCAAACCAAGTGCAAAGCACAAAGTACCAGTCAAAGCAAAGGCAACCACAGACATCGAGAGAACTCAATTCTAGGGAAAAGAATCAGATTTATAATAAAAATAACCAATCGCAAGACGCGCCTCCATCTAGGCCAACTCAGCCCAAACCCCCAGTTCCGAGGGATGTGGATCCATCACTCCACTCACGGAAGGTCAATTATATAAACAGGCCAAGTGACCCTGTAGCAAGACCCTCCAACGGCTCATCGAATATTCCGAAAAAGCAGCAGAAGCTTTTCAAAATAGGAACGGAGAGTGATGACACCCATGAAGACCAGGAAAATGAGGATTCAAATTTTATGGACGAAGACTCTCTAGTGTTCCTTATATAGAACTTTACACCAAATTGGAAAGGTCTTTCAATCTCTAATAGATACCGGAGCTAATAAAAATTTTGTATCTGAAGCAATTGCGAAAAATTCCAAAAAGATTAATAAGCCCTTATAGAAATAGAAATAGAAATTACCCATAAAATTCAAGGCAAATTTATTAAAAGTATAGGAATTGAAACACAATTTGACTTCTTTGTACTCTCTAATTTAAAATCCTTCGATGGCATTATCGGCGACGAGTTGGAAGCCATAATTGATAGGAAACGCGACATTCTGCACGTAGGTGATGCTAGAATTAAGCTAAAAGCAAAAATATCTAAGGAATTGAGTAATATCCGAAATACATCAAATAGTGACAACGAAATTCTAGAAATTTAAGGACAATATTCTGACATTTTTGGACCAGTATCGGACAAAGATAACGTTACCACTAGTGTTCGCGCCGAGATTAGAACCAGTACGGACGAATTTATACGAAATCTTACCCGTATCCTACAAACCTCAGAGCTGAGGTAGACAGACAAATAACAGAACTACTAGAAAACGGAATAATAAGACCGTCGAAAAGCCCCTACAACTCACCTTTGTGGATAGTGCCAAAACAGGCCGGACCATCTGGGGAAAAACGATATGAAGTTGTTAAGACCGTCGAAAAGCCCCTACAACTCACCTTTGTGGATAGTGCCAAAACAGGTCGGACCATCTGGGGAAAAACGATATAGAGTTGATTTCAAAGGCAAAATTCTGTAACTATTCCCGATGCCTACCCTATTCCCTATATCAATAACACGCTAGTCTAGCCGAGAGAAAGTATTTTACCACTCTCGACCTTACGTCCGGATTTCACCAAATCAGGATGAAGGAAAAGGATATTGAGAAAACCGCGTTCTCGACAGCCAACGGCAAGTACAGGCCAGGTAGAGGTAGAATTTTTGGGCCATATTATAACACAGAAGGGTATTCTGCCAGACCCAGAAAAAATATCTGCCATTTAAAAGATTTCTGTTCCAAAAAATCTCAAGGCACTAAAAAGCTTTCTTGGCCTAGCCTCATACTATAGAAGGTTTATCAAAGACTTTGCAAAAGTGGCAAAGCCGCTTACAAATCTAACCAGAGGCACAAATGCAAAAATAAAAGCAAGCAAATCAAAAAAATTAGACATCTCACTAACGGATGAAAGTCTTAATTCCTTCAATGATCTCAAGCAACTACTTATGTCTTCAAAAGTCCTG